ATTACGTATTCTAACGATCTTTTTAGTATAATTATTGTCGTCATATAGATTTAATAAAATAATATTTGTTAAATATGTTATGGTTTCAGTTTTAACCCTTCGGCTTTTAAAAAAAGGGAAAAAACGTCTTTTTGATTTGTTTCAGATCTGCTATTGTTGTTTATGATAGTTTAGATATACTGCGTTTTTTTAGGTTTGTTCAGCTTTATCAATTTGTTGCTCATGTGCCTTGTTTCGTTGTCAATATAACTGTTTAAAATATAACTATTTCATCCATATCAATTTGAATATATCTCCTCATTCCTAATCTATCAACTTCCAACCGATCAGCAGATTTATCAGCTTCACCCATATCCTTCTATTAGTTGATTGCTTCATCCATATCCTTCTGTCTATCTATTTCAGTAGATTTAGATAAYTTCTATMTGGCRAATTGCTTCATCCATATCCTTCTACCAATTTCAACAGGTTTAGATAACCTCCATCAGACAAGCATTTAAYAGATTTAGACRKATATACATATCGTTTTTMATKTCTATCACATCCTCTACTCATATATATTTGAACAAGGTTTTTCAGGATACAGACAGATTCCAAGCTTCCAAGGTTAGTTTCATTCAATCTTTACACACACACACACACTTTTTCTATTTATTTCAAAGTAGAATTAGAAGAGTTCTACAATTTCATTTTAACTCTGAATCCAAAAAATTATGAGTGATGTAATTAATTAAATTTATAAGAGTTTTACAATTTTTACTGGTTGATTTCATTTATTAGGGGTTGTTTGTTTACTTCTTAATAGTTCAGTAAAGAGACAACATCTTAACCGTTAAGAGATGAATCTTGTTTGACAAAAAAAAAATTTGTCTCTTAATGATTCTAAAACCCTCTGAATGATTTTGTATCTTGGACTTCACTTAACCATTCAGTGTCATAATTTCATTGTAAACAATTACCAAACAATTATATTTCATTTTACATTATATCACGAGAGCCTCTTAATTATTCTGACCACTTAATCATTATGTATCAAACCATTCAGCAACTGTCAAACAATCTTTATCTCTTTATAATTTTTACCGAAATAACCCTAGGTCCACAATTTCAAAAAGAAACTGTAGACATGGGTGAAAAATGTTTAAAAAAAACTGCAGACCTGGATGAGAAATGTAATTTTTTTGTGGACCTGGATGAAAAATATAAAAAAAACCCGCAAACCTGGATAAGAAATGTATTTTTTTTTTTTGGATTTGAGTGAAAAATGTAATTCTTTTATAAGAAGTGAAATCAACTCTGGTTTAATAAATTTTAATATTATTTATTATAATTTAACATCCAATAAACCAATTAAGGTTTTTTTTTTAATAACACATGCTCTGAACTAATTAATATGTATATATATATTTTTTTTAATAAATAAAATAATTAATATTCAAAGTGTAAGTGGATGGRCATGGTGTTAGGTCAGAGTCAGACGCGAGAGAATATAAGCCAAAAGGGTAGTGGGAGGGTGGGCCCTCAAAGTGCTGAA